ATTGGTTGCATTGCAAATATGACGTCGAAGATTGGTGCCGGAAATGCACTAGTTGTGCAGCTGTCAAGGGTCCACAAACAAGAAGCAGAGGGGCGATGAAAATCTACAATGTTGGTATGCCTTGGGAGAGAATAGCCTTAGACATCGCTGGACCATTTCCAATCACTGATTCGGGCAATCGCTACGTTTTAGTGGTTATGGATTATTTTACAAAATGGCCGGAGGTCTTTGCCATACCGAATCAAGAGGCAGTAACTGTAGCCACGAAGTTGGTAAACGAGGTATTCACCCGATTCGGAGTGCCCTTGGAGATGCACAGTGATCAAGGACGGAACTTTGAATCCCAAGTTTTCCAGGAAACTTGTAAACTTTTGGGAATCCATAAGACTCGAACGACCCCTTATCATCCACAGTCAGATGGAATGGTCGAACGCTTCAACCAAACATTGGAGCGACACTTAGCAAAGGTGGTTGACAGCCATCAGAGAGATTGGGACACTTACATACCTCTCTTCTTGCTTGCCTATCGGACTGCTGTACATGAAAGTACCGCAAAGACGCCTGCATTTGCAAATTTTGGAAGGGAATTGAGATTACCGGCAGATCTTGTGTCGGGCTGTCCACCTGGTGACTCTCGCACCGAGTTTAGCGATTACATAAGCGAGTTAAGGGCAAAAATGTTGGACATTTATGAGCAGATCAGGGAGGCCGGTCTTCAAGCTAGTGATCGCGCAAAGACGCGCTATGATCGACGAGCCAATTCTGTTGGGTTTGAAGAGGGGTCATTGGTCTGGCTTCATAATCCAGTCAGAAGGAAGGGAAAATCTCCAAAGCTGCAACCGAGTTGGGAAGGTCCTTACGAGATAGTCACGAAGATCAATGACATTACTTACAGAATTCGGAAGTCTTCAAGGAGCCCTTTGAAAGTTGTCCATATAGACAGGTTGGCGAGGTATTACGGCAGCAACGATGCTCGGGACGAGCGAATCTAAGAGGGGGGCAGTGTGACAGAAAACTCTTTGACATCATGACGTCAATGGATGGTTGTCAAACGTTGCCTAGAGATTGTAAATTTCGTCGTGAATTGTCAATACGAGTTGGTGTAATTGGTAAGGCGTGTGGATTACACCACAGAGACCCCGAGTTCGAGTCCCGCCGTAAACATGAAGTTTTTTAGTTGATGGAAGTTTTGTCGAACTTTCTGGAATTATTTGTGTGAAAGAGATGAAAAATTAAAGAGTGAGAAGGAGAATAAATAAAAATGAATAGCGAAATTATTGGAAGGTTCTGGAGGCATGACGATCAAAAAGAATAACGAAATTGAATGTTCCAGAACCTGACCGGGGGTATATAAGCAGAACTGCGGCTCACCGCTGGCAGTTGACTTCTAAGTCTAAAGTGATTCGGAAGAAAAGGAAGAAGTGAAAAAGAAGAAAAGTGAGTGAAATAGCGAAGTGCAGTGAAATAGTGAAGTGCAGTCAGTTAAGTGAGTTAAGTCAGCGTGAACGGCAGAGTTGTGTCAGTCGGCCGGACTCTGCTGAAGAAGAACGCCGATAACTTAACTCCGTGGACGCTGTAACTTAAGTGCAATAGAAAGTCTGAAAACCGGTATTAGTGTTTCATTTCATCCAATCCCGTAACCCAAGCCCGCATAGTCAGGAACGTGACGTCAGGCACGTAACAATATTATACTTCTATTTTATGCGATAGGTCAACGAACAAGCTGACAGATTACTTGATGGTAAGCAATCAGCGCTGCCTATGGACATCCGCAACAACAGAGGAGTTACGAATGAATTACCGACCTTTTGAGGATTAAGGTAACCGGGGGCCCAATCTTTCAATTCATTTAATTTTAATTGAAGCAGTGGTATCACTCCGGTCGACCCGACACATTTAAGTGTGTTCATTTACGTGTCGAAGCATTTAATAACATTATCAACAACAAATTATAAATGCAAAAGTTTGTAAGTATGTATGAATACTTACAAACTTTTCTTCCCCAATGGAATTTCTTGCTCGTTCTTCTCCATTCCAATCTTCATTTCGGAACGAACACTAAGCATCACTGACGAACACTGACATACTGTTATCCTAATTTGACGTTTCAAATGTACCTGTTTATGGTTTAGTTGGAATAGGGAAAATGATTTTTTATTCCTACCTGTAAAAACTACTGAATGGATTTTGGTGCAACTAGGCACAGAGATAGTTTGGCTGGAATAAAACATAAGCTACTCGTCACCCATCCGCATTACCCTAAATTAGGTTTAAAAATAATAATATAAAAATATTTTTTAAAAACATTTTTCTTTTATTATTTGTCTCACGTGGTCATTATAATACCGGTAACAACTCTCTTTTCCACACGTGCCTTTAATATATTATGTACATATAGTGACGACACGTTTCTACAGAATAATGTGGAAACTTACAATAAAACACGTTTTCTCACTAAAAGGATTTTGTAAGCTGAGGAGGGATACGCATATAATAGTTAAAATATGACAATGCTGTGTTATATGTAGATCTTTAAGCACGATCAAATGGTAACACGCATTCTTGTTTGTCGACGAAAAATAGAAATAAGAAATATTGCTTATTAATAACAACTTTTATTATAATACTAGCGGACTCGTGCGAAGCATTGGCAGTCCTAGGTAGGGTTGGTAGGTATTCGACTACCCCGTCAGTCATTTATTTTTTAGCAAACGGCCACAGCACCGAAAGGATTGTTAATTCCCGATATTCCCCTTCACTTTTTTAAAGTTTTCTTTCGTAGGAACCTTCACATAAAAATAACGAATATAACAAAAAAGGAATCAGCAAAATTGGTCCAGTCGTTATTGAGTTATGCGCTTACCAACACATTTCGCGATTCATTTCATTTCTCTATTATAGATAGTCTTTTATTTAACTTACTTTTAACTTATGATTAACAATAATGTACATTTAGGCATATTGTTTGAATAAGTAATAAAAAATATTACTAACAACAAAAATACTTGTAGGTAAAATACTTGTTTTCTAGGTCGTCAAATCAGAATCACATTAGTTACAATACACACGACAGCCCAAAAATACTGTTTAACAATCCAATAATTTTAAAACTTTACAATGTGCGGATCTAAACTAATAAAGCACTCAACCATAATACAACAAAGTCGAATAAACAATTTAACAAAATAAATAGATTAAAGTGAAATTTCCGAACAATTAAGTTTGGGGACTGCAAATTACATTTGGATATCAAATATTCACTATGAAGTAACAAGGGTTGGACTAATTAACTTGAAATAAGTAGCAGATACCAAATGTCGTGGTGGCCCGGAGGTTAAGGAGCCCGCTTCTCATGCATGAGGGTGTGTGTTCGAAACCTGGCAAGTACCAATGTGACTTTTTCCGAGTTATATGTACTTTCTATGATTATTTAGACACCACCGACATACGGTGAAGGTAAAAATCGTGAGGAAACCTGGGCTTATAATTTCTAATAACAAGTTTGAAATCGCCAACCCGCATTGAGCAAGCGTGGTGATCAATGCTCTAACCTTCTCCGTATGAGAAGAGGCCTTTGCTCAGCAGTGGGTACTTATAGGCTGATGATGAAGTACCAGATTAATTACCCGAGAGGACGGCGCGTACAAAGATCCCAACAGGGCTGATGTTCAGCCGGGATGGCGGGGCAAGCGCAATGAGGTACAACGGCCTCGACCTGGAGCAGAAGAAGGAACGGGGGTTTTTAATCAGTAAGAGGCTGATACTCCCTCTCTTCTCACCATGGACGAGAAAAGACATTTTGATGATTTTTCCACCACAAAAAATAATAATAAATAACTACCAGGTACACGAGGTTCACGAGTAGATTTATCTTGGGTCAGTAAATTAAAAATTTCTGATTTGGACAGTCTGGCAGAATTGTTGACGCCAGTAAATAATTTTGTTTCTTAATGTCATTTGAAGGGCTTAATCGATTTTCACGACCCTGATTTTCTCAGAATTGGATTTGCACTATTCCATAAAATCTGAAGAGGCTTTGTGGTATTACTGAGAAGTTTATGAATGAATTATTACAACCTAAATCCGAGAGATAAAATTCCCTGACCTGTTGAGTTGTCAATTATACGTAATATAGGTATATACATACAACATAAGATACGTCTTATGTTATAGAGAGCATCAACTTTCATAAATAGTATTGATTCAAAAGCAGACACACATTTAAAAATTATAATCCAGCTATTATAATCTATATATCTTCTTAATGGATTGGGCTTCTTTAATACATCACCTTAGGTTATGTACGAAAGAAACACACATCGATACAAGCAAAAAGGACTTGTTAAGATTACACTGGATGACCGGAATCTTTCAGAATACAAATATTTTTCAAAGCCTACGAAACGAGCTTGAATATTTCTAGAATTTTACAATCCATTTGCAAGCTAGCGGCTGTTTGTCTTTTTCTAATAGCCATCGTTGGTTTTTCGCTTTTTGCCTCCCCTTTTCAACTAGAAAGAATTTTCTAATGAAGCGCTAGAGATGTTATGTTGGAAGTTACTGCACTTTTTTAAGTTTTAAAAGTGGATATACCAATAGCATTTAAAAAATATGTGTTTATCAATATAAACAATAACATAGTCTCTGTACCATTAGTCAATCTGTAATCATCGTTCGATGAACTTTATCTTTAACAAAGGTATCTATTAAGATCTTTACACTATAAACAATATTTTAATTACCTATAAAAAATACACAATTTTTTCAAGTATGATATGTCACGTGGAGAGGATGACGTCACTTCACATAGCCTTGTAAAAAATCAAAGAAAACCGATCAATTTTGACAAATCGAAACAAGTATTGAATTTTACTATTAGTGGCCCCGAAAACACGTTCGCAACTCCTTTGATGTAGGGGATGTCTATGGGCGGCTAATGAAACATCAGGCAATTTATCGCATAACATAAATGAAACCTTATCATTATAATTTTGTTTCAGACATTAGATGAATGGTCGTTCGACGTGTTTGCCCTGCATGAGGCGTCAGGTGGAGCACCCGTCAAGTACCTTGGCTATGAACTACTCAACAGATATGGAATGATACATAAGTTTAAGGTAAGATTGAATTCTTCTTACACGGACCTTATTAACTTTATCAGGATTAGTAAAGCTACTTGCACCATCTGGTAAGGTCTATGATATTAGTCACAGACAGAACAGAAATATTACTCAAAACGTGTTTGAAAGTTGGATTTGGTCATAGAATTCAAATTTTGTTCCAATTTCTAAATGAAAGGAAAGTTTAATTTAGCTATCCGACCTTACAGATGATTTAAATCTGAAAACAATATCTACAAGGGTGGTTGCGGAACTTAAGGCTTAAAAATATTACAAAACTTTAGTTAGTAAATCTATAAAATTTGTACAAAGTCTTTCCTAAAATCAATTGGCCAAATCTACTGCTTGAAAAAGTCGATAAGTTAAATTAACCTTCGTTTTGCAAGGCATTAATCCAATTTGCCGGTTTGTTACTCTCTGGGAAGTTTGTGTCCCTTTCTTTTCTTTCATTCATTTATCTTTTGATTAATTTGAAGAAGGAACCTAAAAGATTTGAATAAATGAATTCTTTTTATGTAGTCTCACCTTTTTTACCAAGTTTCAAATCAGTCCATTAGTGATAAGCCCCATTTTGCAAGCCAAAAAAGAAAAAGCGGAAACAGAAGTGTTCAGAACTTCTAAATATATTGCATTATATTATGTTGAACACATTCAATAGTCACAAATTATGGTATTGATTGGAACAAGCCACAAGCTTAATTAGCCTACACTGGTCATGGATCTATAAACTGTGAAATCAATTAGAAGTTCAAACTAATTAACTGTTATTCATGTAAGATAATTACATTCGTACTGAGCAAGTTATTAACAATAAAATTCTACATAATATTATGTAAATATTAATGATGTAATAAAGTTTCCTAAAGGCGACGCTGAAGATTGAATTTTAGTTTTGCCTTTAAAAATCTGCCGTAAATGTTTCGACCATGTTTTTTAATGCCATGCCATGTCTAGACCGATCGAAACTTTATCCTATTAAAATCACACACAGGATCGCAGAGAACGTTCAAATTTCACAACACGTCTTTTGAAAACGTGATTGGTCAATAAAATCTTTTGGTAAAAATAACCTATTCCAAAGTTTCATTTCTCGACATTATTTTAATATTAAAGTTGTGATTTCGGAAAAAATTCATCACTGAAAGTCTTGATGGAAGTTTTAATAGACTTCCAAAGTTAGCCTTAAAACTTTCCGAGTACGCGTTGGCGGTCATTTTTGGCAATCTTTATACAGATTCCTTTGTGGAACGTTCATTTTAACATTATATTTATTTTGAATAGTCTGTTATCGCAATCGTAATGGACTGAGGCTTGTTTAACTGTGGAGTATCCTTTTGGTTATTTTTCTTAAGAATCACAAATGTAGTAACAGTATTCGAAAGTGTTACAATTAATTTGACAAAAACAGAAACACCTTAATTATGTTAAAATTAATATCTGTTTCCATGCAGTTAAAATATAAAAAGCTTAAAAAAGATATTTTAGTCGTAAAATAACAGAAATGAAACTCCTTGTAAAATATGGAACGACAAAATTAACTCTAGAAATGGCTTACAGACTGTTATTGCTACCCAAAAATCCCTGAAGCTTCTTATTACACCAACATTATTTTCAATTGCTATTGTTCTTTTTGGAAGATAACTTTACTTTTGGGTAGCATTTACAACAAATGTTAGAGGAAGTAACTGCCTTGAAAATTGGTTAGCCCGATGACAAGAAATAATCGTTACATTTCAATAAATGTTGGGCTACCTCAGGGAAGTATATTAGGACCAATTTAATGTAATAAGTAATAAATTACCTAATTAGATAAATTTCTTTGACCTTGACTTTGAAATTTGGGATAGCCTCCTCTCTACTGGGTAATGACTATAAAGCTGGTCATACCTATGTTTGGATTGAAAAGGTTTGTAAAAAAATGAGCATAAATGTATTTTATAATTTCTACGTTTCAATTTTTACATCAAACTAAGTGAGTTCAAGAAAAAGTTAGACGGGTACTTTTCTAGCGTTCGAAGCAGTTGTGCATGATTGAATCGAAATGGGATTTCCGAGTTGCCGAAGTTCAGAGGATAGAATTGCATAATGTGAATTACTTACAAGTGCCTCTTTCATTTGAATAAATAGACTTTTTCAACATAAAGTATTTAATTGCCCAGTGTAGGATGTTCTCCATTGGTATGTAGCCGTTTATAACATTTCACACACACAGTATACCGAAACCCGAAACATCCATTTTTTATTCACGCAAAGAATTGTTCCGTGCCGAAATTGGCACACTGCACAGCAGCCGGTTTTATAGCAAAATAATTAAGAAATATTTTTGTTACATGTTTTATTATTAAATTTAAAAGTCGCTTAAAATTCAAAGGTTTGTAATTAATACACAAACCATTTGGAATATGTGGTACCTATATATAATTTGCAAGAAAATCTATACTTAAAAGTTACGTTAGTGAAAAGATATGTATAGATCAATTCTAGCTCAATGAAACAGTGGACTACATTTATAATTACTTAAAAAAATCCAACACTAAAAAGATCTCTTTTTCATCACCAGGTCCCGCCGACGACGTTGGAGAACTTCCTCAACAGGATAGAGGAAGGTTACTGCAAGTTCCACAACCCTTACCACAATAACCTCCACGCAGCTGATGTGGCGCAAACAGTTCATTACATGCTGTGTCAAACTGGACTGATGGTGAGTTACTTAATAACCTTAAATCAAAGAAGATTTAGTTTACTGATAAAAGCTCTACGAGTTTCAAGTCATAACGGAACTCTTATTCATGAGTAGCGTGCACGCTGACTTCCAAACTATCCAAAACAATACTATCCTAACTTAAAAACTAATATTATAAATGCGAAAGTAACTCTGTCTCTCTGTCTTTTCTTCACGCCTAAACTACTGAACCGATTTCTGTGAAATTTGGTACGGACATATTTTATAACTCGAGAAACACAATATCTATATTTTGGAACTCAAGAACATAGGGTAGTTTTTAAAACAAAAAACTGCAGGAAGTCAGTATGTCACGCGGACAAAGTCGCGGACAAAAGCTATTTTTTTATGGTCAGGTTAACTAGTAGTACCTACTTCATTTATTTTATGTTACATAGAATCCTTTTCTTTTTATTCATACGGGTGAAAATAGCTGTTAACAATTCTCTTTTTGTAATCAATAGGATAGAAGACAATTATCTCACTAACAACTGTAATGAAGCTAATAATGACAATATGAATGCCAGAACTTTCTGAAGTAAATCCTAATGAGCACAATTAAGTAACTTTAGACAAACCAAAACTTTTAAGTGAAGTGAGAACACTGAATGCTAAGGTAAAAGAACTAAGCCAATTTAACAAGTTTGACCAAACTAAAGGAAGTAATCTTAAACAATGTTTAAACAGTGAATCAAGTAAGTGAGGCGAAGAAAATTAAGAAATCTGTTTGAATTATGAACTTTTCATGACAATCGCAAAGATAGCAAAGGCAGCTAAGGAACAAGCTTACAAATTCGTATGGGTAAAATTCGGCCGAATTTATGTACGAAAGAATGAGCAAACGCCTGCCATACTTATTAGAGACACTAGTTGCTTAAGTAAACTTACCTAACTTATTAATTATATACATTTTATTTTCACTCTTACTAAATTTGGCTTTACATAATTGGTACATTTTCTATATTTTATATAATGTTAAAAATTTATTACCAAAATGTTAATAGAATAAGATCTAAAATTCAAGAACTATATCTAAACGTGCTTAGTTGTGAGTACGACATCATATGTCTGAGTGAAACAAACCTAAACTCTGGTATTTACGATAATGAGCTGTTTGATCGGCGATATAGTGTGTTTCGCAGAGATCGTGAAATTACATGTAGTGGAAAGGTTGATGGTGGGGGTGTGTTAATTGCTATAAAAAAACAATTTAAGGTGATTCGGGAGACTGCATGGGATAGCAGAGTGGAAGATATTTGGATTAGTATATTGCCTAATAATCACCATGAATTTCGTTTAAATATTTGCGTTTGTTATCTACCGCCTGACTTACCCCACAATGACCTCAAGGCATTTTACTTGAATAGCCAAAATAATATTATTAATTCTCACGTTACTGATATATCTCTTATAATAGGAGATTTTAATGTTCCAGGCTTACTCTGGTCGCCAATTTCAAAGGGTTGTTATTTAAAACCAGTGGCCAGTATACCCGCCGATAGTAAAGCTACTTTCATATTAGACTTTTTGTCGCTTTGTAACCTTTCTCAGTTTAATCACGTAAAGAACAAGAACGAAAGATTATTAGACCTAGTTCTGTGCACATCTGACGTCATTTGCGTCGAGCCGGTTGAAGAGTCACTCACGCGACTTGACAGACATCACCCACCTCTCTCTATAAAGGTTGAAGGCAACATTCCGACCAAGCAAATGAAACTTAACTCGCGCACCAAGCGATATAATTTTAACAAGTGTGATTACGCTAAGGTTAAAGCAGCCATTTTAGAGAAAGACTGGTCTATAATCCTACAATCGAATGATGTCAATCTCGCTATCCAGGAATTCTACGAATTTCTTAATGGTGTAATTTGTAAATATACTCCTATATACAGAGGAAATAAAGGAAATTTACCTCATTGGTACTCACCAGCATTGAGAAGGTGTCTCCTCGAGAAGATTAAGTATCACAGCCGTTTTAAAAAATATAAAAATCCGAGAGACTATGATGCTTTCTCTATGTTGAGAAGTCGATGTAAAAAGCTGGAAAAAGAATGTTACCGGTCCTTTGTATCACGAACGGAGGAGTGTCTGTCTAGTAATATTAAATGTTTCTGGAAGTTTGTTAACAGTAAAAAAGGCTCTAATGGATTACCACAAACGATGAAACTTGATGGAGTCATCTCATCTGATGGTCAAGTTATTGCTGAGCTGTTTTCAGGGTTTTCTGGTTCGGTTTTTGAGAACTCCTCTTCTATCTCCACTGATGCCATGGAACACGTTAATGTAGAATGTAACAATTCTCTGTCTACATTTAGAGTCGAGCAAGGGCATGTTCTTCGACAAATCAAGCAATTAGATCGTAATAAGGGTGCGGGCCCGGATGGGATACCGCCTATTTTTTTAATTATGTGTGCCGATGAGTTATCTTTACCACTTTCTAACCTATTTAATCGATCTCTTGAACTCGGTACGTTTCCAATGGTCTGGAAGACAGCCCACGTTGTTCCGATCCACAAGGACGGTGATAAATCGGATTGCACTAATTATAGGCCTATCAGCATACTATCCGCAATGGCAAAACTTTTTGAAGCTGTTATTTACCAACATCTCTACTTTCACTTTAAACCTTACTTATCTGAATCTCAACACGGTTTCATACGCGGTAAATCGACACTTACGAATTTATTAGAGTATAAAAATTTTCTATGCTCCACATTTGCAAAGGGTGGTCAAGTGGATTCCATTTATACGGATTTTCGAAAGGCATTCGATAAGGTAAATCACGATATACTATTGTCAAAGCTTATGTCCTGTGGAATACATGGCAATTTATATCGCTGGATCCAGTCATATTTGAGGCGAAGGAGTCAGTTGGTTTCTGTCAGAGGGTATTTATCGCAACCAATACCAGTCACCTCTGGTATACCACAGGGATCCCATCTGGGTCCTTTATTCTTCTTAATATTCATCAATGATCTCGCAAAAACATTGAAATGCCCTTGTTTACTCTATGCTGACGATTTAAAAGTCTTTACGTCCATAGAAAGTATTGCCGATTGTGAATCCTTACAGCAAGATCTTCAATCTATATCAAGTTGGTGCAATCTTAATCGTATGTACTTAAACATAAATAAATGCTTTGTCATCACTTTCACCAAAAAACGTATCAAGATCACCTATGACTACAAGATTGAAAATCAATCACTCAATCGTAAGTGTGTTGCTGGGGATCTTGGCGTATTATTCGATGACCAACTGTCATTTCGCGAGCACTATGCTGACATAACGAACAGAGCTTTAAAACTCCTCGGCTTCATTGCCAGAACCACAAAAGGTTTTAAAAATCCATACAGCTTTTTAACCCTGTACAAAGGCCTAGTCAGAAGCACTTTGGAGTACAGTTCAGTGATATGGTCGCCCTGCTACGCAATACATTCTGACAGGATTGAAAGTGTCCAAAAAAGGTGTGTTAAGTGGATTTCATTTCGACATGGTCTTACAAGGAAACTCACAACTTATACGGAACGTCTACTTAAATTTAAAATTGTGCCCCTTCATGTACGTCGTAAACAACAGGACTTAATTAATCTTCATAAGATTCTCCATGGTACCATTGATTCTTCCACTTTGCTTTCTCTCATCGATATTAACACCAGACATAAAACCCGATCACCGAAAACTTTTTTACTGAATGTATACAAAAACAATACTTCTTACTATAACCCTATCATAAGAATGTGTCGTCTTTATAACGATATATCGGGAAACAGTAGCATTGACATCTTCGACTCACGAGCTGCCGTTTATAAGAGAAATGTTTGCGCATTAACACTGTAAACACATACACATTGTATCGCTGTATCCATTTGGGCTTATTTTGGTAAACTGTACTGCATTACTTTAAATTTCATAGTAAAATCTCAATTTTTTATTGTATTTAGCTAACTCTAGAACATACATCATGTTGTGTGATTACGTTAGGGTATCAATCAGTACTCAACCTATATACTGTTATAATCACCATGCTTTGATTGTTACCTGTTGTAATTACCTTAATAAATAAATAAATAAATAGATACAGTTTAGCGTGTGGCTTGGAAAAGAAGAAAAAAGTGCCTTTTACATTACCTTCAAACATTAATATTTTATTAAAATTTTTCATCAATTCACACTTAAAATTTTTAATTCATTTATTTTAGTAGTGGAGCCCAGGGTGCTAAATTTGTAGTTACTCAAGCGTCGTTAGGAGTAACTGAATTTTTGAAGATTTGGTTATAGAAAGAAAAAGGACTTATTGACATTTTATTCCTCCGGTGGGGGGTAGGGGGGAATGATAGTTTACCAATTGTAAGGTGTAACTTTTATTTTAGTGCACGAGCGTGACAGATATTAATAATGTATATACTTCATGCATCTCTGACAATGAAAATATTTTAATCTGCCGAATTGCATAATGTGGTTGGCTGACTAAGGAGATGAAAATGGGGCCCGTTCAAAACCCTACCACTGTTGTAAACCACGATGAAATCGGTAAATTTTTTAATCACCCGTGCATTGACATGACATCCACCTTTTCCCCCCAAATCTGACGAAAACGACTATATTTAGTTATTTGTTTAATTCCCCCCCCCCCCCCCTCCTTTATTTACATTAAGCATATGATGGGTATATTCAACTGTTTACTAAATATTCCCCATATGTTAATATCAGATTAACTACCGAAACTCCTTCATGGGCTCCCCTACTATTTTGTGGCCATAAAATCTTTTAATGTCTAATGTTTGGTCCAACCAATATTCCGCCGAAAGACAGGCAACAAATGCTACAATCAAATTTAAATATAATCACAAAAAATTACACAACGGCAATGGTATACGAGAAAAAATCGACAAAATTATATCAATTAAAATAAGTTTAATAACATGAGAAAAAAAAATTGGTACAAATTCTATTTTCTTTTCTCAACAGAACTGGCTATCAGACTTAGAAATTTTCGCGACGCTGGTGGCGGCCGTGGTGCATGACTACGAGCATACAGGCACCACGAATAATTTCCACGTGATGTCAGGATCTGATACCGCGTTGCTGTACAACGACCGGGCTGTCCTTGAGAACCACCATATTAGTGCTGCATTCAGGTAAGACATACCAATCTTGAAGTACATTGACCTATATATACTAAAGGAGGTGTTTACTGTTCACTTATCTAGAAATTTGTGTGTTCCTTCACCCTAACCTAGGCTGGCAGAAAGACAAATTATTTTATTTATACACTTTATACAAAGAAATGTACAGACATTAATCCGCCTGTACATTTCTTTGCCTTAGGCTTTGTCTAACAGTCGACCTTCAGGACGTGGAGAGATGAGAGTGGCAGGTGAAAAAATTATATATAACAAAATTTTATTAGGTATAAAGATTTATAACCTTTTCTGTTCGCAACACATCATCAGCCGATAAATGTCCACTGTTGGGCAAAGGCCTCTTCTCACACTAAGAAGGTTTCAAAGTTAAATCACCAAGCTTACCCAAGGCGGGTTAGTGATTTTAAACTTATAATTAGAAATTAAAAAGATCGATGTTCCTCACGATGTTTTCCTTCACCGAACCTGCGCCCTCATGCATGAGAAGTGAGAGCCTTACCACCACGACAATGAACTGGCTGAATAAAACAAAGTTGCCTTTTCTGTCCCTATACCCCTATATATGTAAGTATGCTTAAATCTTTACGACTACGCAAGTGATTTTAATACGGTTTTTAATAGATAGAGTGATTGAAGAAGAAGGTTTACTAGGTACGAAGGTTTACTCCTATATGAAAAATAGCACCCTAAATGGTGGAGATATTTTGTATCAACATTGCACTCATACGAAGCCCGGGTGGGTCGCTAGTTTTTATATTCTCTACTAGCGGACCGCCCCCGCGTCGCACGGGTCTAACTATATCGCTATCAAAAATTTTTCTCCTCTACTTCTCTAATATTTTCTTTGATAAGAACCTTCTCCTGACAATAACAAACACAACAAAAAAGAATTAGCAAAATTGGTCCAGCCGTTGTTGAGCTATGCGCTTACCAACACATTTTGCGATCCATTTTTATATGTAAGATTATGCAAAGTCTCCTTCAAATTGAAATCTTAAAATGTTTAAACAAACAATGTAGCTGTTAGTTTTTTTGCGGAACTATAAAATTTACAGATTCTACCTCACATTGACTTACCTCGTTATTTAAAAACATTCCTATACGTTGACAGGCATCCTAAAACAAAGAAAAGGAGGCGAGAAAGATCCGTAGCTATGCGCAGCGTCAAACAGACTTCATGCAAAAACCTTTTATTTTCTCTCCTGCGTATCATAATAGACCTGTCTATAGACGCTCAACTAAGGCCAGGCATTGCATATTAAAAAAGAAATCTCAAATCCCTTTATATTCTGTTATTGTGCTGTAGATTCCGCGAACGACTTACATTTTTATAAAACACTAGAGCGTCTGTCGATCCGGTGCCTCTAGACGTCCATATCGGAAAATATTGCTTTCTATAAGGACCCTGCAGTCGATAAACATTAACATATTTACAGCGATCGCAATATCTGGACTCTTCGTCTCTTTTTATAAAATATTATTCACAAAATATTAACAGGGCCCTGAATGTTAAGAAACGTGATTTTACTCTTCGAGTCCTTGATAATTTAGTTTACTTTTTTACTCATTTTCTAATAAAATCTAAAATAAGTTATCTATAATAGAATATAATCAGGTAGTTATTCCTTATACATTCTGCCTCATGGCATGCAAAATTGTGGTTAGGTCACTAACATGACTACAGGTACCTACTCCACCTAATTTCTGACAAAAGTAGGCGCGATATTATTGTCATTATTATTATTATTCTACACAAAAATACTTTGTCGGTACGAATAAAAACCCCTAATGATCACAAACGAACAATCAGATAACAAGCCATTCATTGATTTGTAATGACAACGATTTTCTGAACGATACAAAAATAAATTCCTAATAAAAAAAAATGTAAGGCAAAGGTAATGACGGGAGCCCTGATTTGGCTAACAAAAGAGTCCGGAGTTTCGGTTGGGAACTCGTTAAAATACAAATATACGATATAATTTCCCTAGAGAGATGAACGTAGCGATTTTTCATCCGAAGTGCGCCCGAAAAGAGTGTTCGATAGGTATGTGATGGTTCCCATGTCTGCGAAAGTGGGAATTGTGTGTAAGTTTATGGACTATTTTTGATGTCCTTAACTTACGAGTAAATAAAGGGAATATTTAAAACTGACAGACTGATTAGGGTAAGTTTTCGTTGAATCCTTAGATACTAGCAAAACCATAACGAAACTAATATTATAAATGCGAAAGTAACTCTGTGTCTTTCTGTCTTTTCTTCACGCCTAAAATGCTGAACCTATTTGTGTGAAATTTGACAAACAATAGTTTGGAACTCGAGAAAGGACATAGAATTTTTAAAACACAAATCTGCTGGAAGTCACTATTCACAAAGTCGCGGGCAAAAGCTAGAAGGTACTAGGAATTGAACAATTATGTTTGTGTTTATTAGTCAATTTATGGAGCAAGGGCTTAAAACATCACGCTACGATCTGTGGGAGTTGAGTCAAGTTTTGCATGAAAAAATTTTAACGATTTTTTTTTATTTGAAATGCGATGAAAATATAACACTAATCAATAAAGAAATGACTACTTTTGAAAAAAGAATCCCATGTTTTTAAAACAAAATTAATTAGCCTTAGCCTACAAAAACTATTTTGATCTGAAATGGCCAGTACTGCAGAGCGGCAATTTCATAGGTAAAGACCTATTATTAAACTATAAATTAATAATCTTTAATTTAACAATTTACGCGAAGCTGTTAAAATCCTTTAAAAATACTACTTTTTATTGTTTAAATGTAATATTCTGCTAGGACACAAAATGCAATATAAAAAGAAAACTGTTCCATACTTTATCACAGGGAAAATACTGTAAAAAATATTCTCTGGCTGCCCATAAAAGGAATCTTATTAAACACCGTCTAAAACTTTAGCTCTCTTTTATGTGGACTGTCATATAAACGTATCACCTATTTTTGGGGTTTATCCAGTACTAAAACAGCAGTAACCAGAGACATATAAATGCCTACCAAGATTTCTTAACTGGTATAGAGATTCAACACATTTTTAAATAAAGAAAATTCGATCGATGACACTTGCTGTATTTACAAACATAGGGGCATATTTAATAGAATTAGGGGGGAGATGTTATAATGTTGTGTGAACGAATTTACTTATAACACCTATCCTATCCCGCTGAAAAACTGTTAATATGCAGTTCGGCGGGTTTTTAAAATGTAAAACGATATTGCTACCGTACAAAAAAGAATTATTTACTTTACTTTATAAGTTTATCAGAAATTATTTTTTAAAAGTCATGAAATAGGAATTCTGTTTCTGCTAGCTAACTGCTGCCATTTACAAGATATCCATGCACTATACCATGTATTACATAGATAGGGATGTATTTCCAAACAACTCTTAAAGAAAAATCATCCAACAAATCTTCCACGTCCAAAAGCTTCTACGCTTGAATTCTACTCGATAGAGCACCACACTTGATACCGCACAAAAAGAGCAAACATTCAAAACATTTTTCTGCTAACCTCGTAAAGGAAGTGGCATTTAACTGGTCTATCACCGAGTTCGTATGTTTGATATTCGATGCTATACGCACTGCTACGCGTGCTCGCCATTCGCCAGGCAATGCCCAGCGATCCGTGCCACAAATGCCTGTTCAATGCATTACACACGTTCCGTTTTATTATAAACTGTTCAACCTGTTTTTATTTGCTGTTTCGAATTGTATTACGGCCACTGAATAGACATTGGCAGCTTAATTATCCCAGTTGATGAATCGAACTAATGAATAGCTCAGTAGGTTACATTTAAATAGACATGCTGAATTATTTTGCGAGTTAAATATATATGTGAATTTTGTCTATCTGTGTATTATTAAATACCGTCTGTAGGTATTGATATGTATGATATTAATAAATCCCAATTTCCCTTCACAAACGGACATGAACAAACGGCTAGACCGATTACGATAGTTCTTTTTTTATGTGTTTGGCGATTTCAAACCTATAATTAGAAATTATAGGCCAAAGTTTCCTCACGATGGTTGCCCTTACCGTATGTCTGTAGTGTCTTAATGAACTTAGAAAGTATACATTATGTGATCCATAAAAGTCACATTGGTTTGTCAGGTTCCGAACACTGCTCCTCATGCATGAGAAATACTCAAGAATCAGACACCAAAGTAAAGATTCAACATTTCCCACTTATGAAAGCAGTAGGTACATCAGCATGCGTAGGTAGGCAAGGACCGGCAGTGTGCTTACAAAGTACTTAACGCGAGCTATTTTCATAGAAATAGGATACTTTATCTCCAGACGACGGCGTGTGATTGATGAGCGATGACATCAGCTCAGCATTATATGCTAATTTTTCACTCCATGTCTCAAACATAAGGTAAACAACGTTTGGAATGGATTCCTAAAGACTTTAATTGAGTTGTTTTGATGAGGTAATGTTGTTATGTAAGGTGTGAAATATGAACATTACTCAGTGCTTCCATATTATAAATTAACTTCGCGCCCCAGCTTCACATGGGTGCAGTACTGATACTAAATTCCTCGACTTTGTAATGTCGAATTTGTAAGTTTAAGATCAGAGAGAGAGAACCTTTGGTCGGATTTCCAAAATTCATTCACTGATAGGTAGCCACAATGCTAATAACATTTATAAGCTATTATAAATAATTAATTATTTATTTGCGAATTTAACCGAGCTATCGCTTTGAACGCTGCTGTTTATAAAATCCTGAAGCTGGCCGCGACAGCTAGTTATATATAAACCTTCCTCTTTAATTACTCTTATCTATTTTTAAAGAAACGCATCAAAATCCTTTACTTACTTTTAAAGATTTAAGCATACAAAGGGGTATAACGACAGAAAAATCATCTTTGTTTTATACTATATAATGATGGACAGTTGCTTTAACTGGGCATATAACAACTTGGCCACCGGTTGACGTGTAACCTATCGCTGATTAGATAGTTTCATTGGA